TCTTCTTGGTAATTTATATTGTTGAAGTAATAATAATTATTTTAAAGATTAGTTTTTAGGGGAAAGTTTCAAAAGTAAAATAACCTACCTTTATCATTTAAAAAAATATGATATAAATAATGAAAATAATGATTAGTCGGTTACAATATTTAAATGAATATATTTGATAATAATAAATATTTTACTTAAAACTCATTTTGTCAAGATGTATGTTTAAAAAATAATCTTTGGATTGAAATATAGGTAATGGATGATTATGGCGAAACGTTTTAAGGACTTATTATAAATTATAAGACATATGGCTGACACAATAAAGCTTTGATCGTCACATCTGCACTGTATCCAAAGTTCATCGTTAATACTGTGATGCTACTTTTTAAGTCAAGTGAATATTTTACATTACTAAATACCTAATAAAAGTTATTATTTTTAAAGTAAAATCTACTTTTAAAACACAAATATATTTTAACATAAGTTACTGTTCATCTCAATTGATGTATAAATACATCTATATATATAAACACAACATCTGTAAATGTAAAGTTAATTTGAAATTATATCCGACTTCTTAAATAATTTAAAAGAACAACAACAAAATAAAATAAAACGAAGTTCAGTGATCCCAAACTGCACAATACACAGTATAAATTATATATTTAAAAAAGTGTTAAAACTTATTAAAAGTATGTTTTGGCTATAAACAGTTAAAAACATTTTAATAGCATTTTTACTATACTTTAAAAGATATTATGTACTATACATAGGTATTTGTTTTATGTTGTATGGGATTAGACTATTCTAGAGAACTCAACCGACCACAACTCGGAAGCCCTTGGTTATTTGAATCCAATTTATCCAGGCATTATATTTATTATAGGTTAATTTAAGTTATAATATATTCAACATATTACAATGGCTTATTTATATTGGTCTTCATTTTATACGTATTATAGGGCATGTAAACTGTACAAATACCCTGTTCGAGGTGGATTAAACTTACGCAGTACGCTTAACTTATATAATTTATTATAGTTACTACTTTTTTTTTTTCGCGGAGACTAGCATTAATATATTTTAGTACATTTATATGTATGTTTAGTTACGTTTATGCATATTTCTTAAAATTATTCTAGTAGCGTTTAAATAAAATATACTTTCAAATAATATATTTTCAAAAAGGGTGGTGACCAATTCGATGTGAAGGACTCTGTACAAGCATAGTAATATCAGAAATTTAATAAAAAATATAGTGCGACGAAGCACAGAAACTCTGTTTAGAATTTCAAATGAAATACGCCGTCTTATGTACGACATTCAGTAGAGGTAGCGGTCTCGCTTGTCACTGTCTCGTTTACTGCTCTTCGGGGATTCCAGATCAAACAGTTGCCAATTGTTTACGACCCGAGAACGCACATATTGGCCAGCCATGTTTTTGGTCATTTGCCGTCTAGTACTTACGCTCATACTTCGGTCAAGATGTTAAAATAAAAATATATGTCGCCGTATTCTCCCACGATATAAATGCACTGCGCAAAATGTCTATATATATATAGGTACAAAACCAAATGGGACTAAAAAAAAAACAATAAAATAAACGAAATAATAGTCGTCAGCATACGAAAATATAACAAGACTAGTATAAAGTTCAGCTGCCTAACATCATAAAAAAAACTATTTTGTCACAGTGTATCTTTATAAGATAGAAATTTACCATCATAGATATGATTCAATAGTTAACACTTAACATATAATAATATGTATGATTACTATATGTCATGTATAGAATTGAATAATATATTTTTGGTGTGTTCGATAAACTCATTATAACTTATATTAACAACTGGACTGATAAAGATATTTGATAAAATTTGATAAATTTCATCACTTATCTGATTGGGTTCATGCAAAAGGGTCCTTAACGCCATTTCTAGCAAAAACAAGTTAACCGCAGACTTTTACTATTATTACTTTTACTTTTACTATTCAACGTTTTATGCTAGAAAGGACCTTTTTCAGACATTCCCTGGTCTAGAAAACGGCTTGTTAATTTTCCGATTTGTGCGAAAAGGGGCCTTATTCCTGGACTAAAGGTCCCACTTCACACGAATTTACTAAATTTCCATTGTTGTATCTCGTCTGCTTTATAACTTATATAAACAAATTTTATATACTATAATAATATAATTTAATAATTTTATGATATATAATGATATTTGCTATTATTGTTATTTACGTTTTTCATGTAAATTATATTATCGTATGACATTACATTATACTTAGTAGAATGATTTCACAATTAGCGTTACACAATTATTGGGTTTGACACGTTAAACGTATGTTATTATTTTGACAAGAAATTAACTTTTTTCATTGTACGTGCAAAAAGGGACCTTATTCCAATTCATTTTTTATTATTTTAACTACAATATCTAGAGTCAAAAGCAATTTGCGTTATTAACACACATGTTCTATGTGAACACTAAAAAAAAATCATTAAAAAATCTTAAATTCACAAAGAACTAGGAAGTTTTTTTTAATTTTCTCAAAATTAAATAAAAGTGATAAGGACCCTTTTAGCATGAACCAAATCATCTATCAAAATCGACTAAAATATCTTAAAATTTGGTATATTTGTTAATTTTAAATACATATGTGGGATGCTGTGGCATACAATAACTTTTTGAAATATAGTAAAAAAATTAAGGCATTCGTTAATTATACCGGTAATAAATGGGTTACGAGATGTTAAACCCTAAGGTAAAATTAATTAAAACTAATAATTAAATGTTCACTAGTTTAGCTGGTTTCTTTTTAGTTTTGTTTAATTTTTTACTTGTTTTGGTTGGTTATATAGGTACACGGGGAGTGTACTGACAAGTTCTCATAAGGATATAATTTAAACATAAATTTGTTAAAACATTTTGTCTATGCTCTGCACAAAGAAATTTCAAAAAACAATTATTTTTCAAAAAGGCCTCTCAAATCTCTTCAAATGCCTTGAGAAAATTAATAAATTGAGATATTGACAACTACAATGTTTGTTAACTTTGCTTGTGTGTGGTATCTTCTACTTTTTACAACGGTTTTTTTTAAAAGAAGGAGGAAAACGTGTTTTGGCCAGCTCGTACAACTGAAAAAACCCGCTAGCTTCATTGGCGAGCTTCTTGCCACATTTTTATATTTTATGTGGATAATTTTCGGATATATCCATGTCTTCAGTTTTGTGCTGACGTTTGGAACACTCATTGCAGTCCATCTTCGGATCGATAGTCACCGTTACGCTGTTGTGACTATACTGACTACTCTCTTGGTGTTTGGTCGTGTTATCTCGATAAAGGGGTGTCGTACGTGTTCTGTCATGTCATTGCCGGACATTTTTCAATTTCCATTGCTCCATTTACGATATGGTAGAACACGTACGATACCCGCTGGTCGAGAAACACGGCAGGAAACATGCGAAAACCACAGCTGGCCGAGATAATACGGTGCTTTCAAGGACGCTGGATGCATAAATAACGCGGTAGGAAACAAGCGAGTCTGACAGTATAGCCACGAAAGCTGAACGGTGACTATCGCACCGAAGATGGACTCTACAATTGAGTTAGAAACATCAGTGTAAAATTGAAGACATGGATACATCCGAAAAATATCCGTGAAATCTTTTAACACGTTTATAATTTTATATTTGTTAATCATTATTGTGGGCACAAATAGCCCGACATTTTTTTAAGAGAATAATAACCAAGAAACGACGTGGGCAACAAACATGTTGTACCTAATGATGAGAACTTGTTCCTCTAAATGTGTATACACAAAATAAAACAAAACGTTAAATCAATTTGTAAAAAGACTATCACTATATTATTATGTTATATAAAACACGCAGATAAGTCAAATTAACCTTTCATTCGACGATTTACGCAAAACCTAATTCAGACTTTACTGTTACTTGGATTTCAGGTACTATAATATAGCTTACTCTTTTCTGCTTTGTGCGCAAGCTGTCATTTAGATCGTTTCTTTGAACCTTCAGAAAATCCAAGGTCTCCCGTTTCACTGGACATTAATCATTGGGTTTCTCTTCAAAAATCGCCATTACGCGGGGGTCAAAGATCAAAGGTCCGACATTTGATCGGAAACGAATAAAAGCCACGTCAGATCATATTATTAGATTTGCACTGTACTATCCGGATAGTGGACGTAGATATATTCAAATAGATGATCACGATACAGGAAGCTGCATTTATCCGTCGAGCGATTAAATCTTCATTATAGACCGGCAATTTCCAGCGTGTTATCGACTTCAAATATGTACGAGTTAGCAATTTTTTTTATTGTAATTTTTTTTCACCAGAAATAGCGTTTTTCTCGTTGCTTGTTTACCGCCAAGACGTCGATGTAGTGTACCGGCAAATTAGTTTTGTACGTGGACGATAAATTATTGTTTTTACTTCCAAACGATGAACCGTGTAATAAGGCACTGTTACGTGGCATAATACTTGTCGGCGAACCAAACTATTGACCGATCTTATACTTGCATTTCAACTTATTTGTCTTGTGATTCGTGTGTGCTTGATTTCCATTAAAAACACAGCACATAATATGTAAATAATACATTATTAAAACGACATATTAATTCTATATATTTCCTGCATATTATAAAATATACAAATAACGTCAATGTTAAAATAATATAACCGATTCGTTTGTCAATATATCAACACTGTTCTATGGTACGTACTACGTACTGCAGTAGTAATTGTAATAGTAATAGTATTGATTTTATAATATTATATCAATTATCATAATGTATTATAAAATCAAAGGTAATATCCTGGGCATTTGGTGCCTAGAAACATAAAAAAAGTATTATTAGGACGTAAATTTGACGTTTCTCGTGGGCGCCGATCGACCATGTGAATTAATGTCCATCGGACGACCGGTTATTAGCAGACTTATTCATGCGTAAATTAAATTGGTTATTTGTTTTTTGTTTTCAGAAGGAAACCCGATAGTTGGCGATAGAAGACCCTATCAGGTAAGTCCGTTGTTATCGTTTTACAATAATATTATTATAAGCGTTTAGGAATACAACGCTGACAATAGACTTGGTGATCAGACTATCAAATTTACTCGATACGATTTTTTATTAAAAATATAGTGCTTTCTAATGACGAAATGAACAAAATAAAAATACTTTATATGGTTATAATAATACAAAATTGCACTAGTCAAATTAAACTATAATGTATGTTTTAGAAAAATATATAAGTATTTCTATTATTATAACTGAGGCAACTTATTGTTATAAATCAATCAACTAATGAATGTTACTAATGAGTATAATTATTATGATTTCGGATTTTATTTCAAGCAGAAATATGTACAATTGCATGATTTAATTTTGTTTTTAAATAACTAAAATGATAAACTAGTTATAATGTTTAAAATATCTACCAATTTTTCATAGGGGAACACCTACTAAGAACTAATATTAAAGTAGAACCGAGAGTAATTAAAATTACATACAATTTTACTTCATAAAAACATTGGAGAAGGAATATTGGTTAAAATTAAAACAAATGACCTATATAGATATTTGAATAATAAAAAAACAATATATTATGCAAGCATCAATAGTATATTGTTGAAAAAGTTTAGTAGTTAAAAACTTATTATTATTAGATTGAGAAAAAATAATATTGCAGTAGTTATCATTATTATATATATATATATATATATATATATATATTTTTTTTTTTAAAACAATATACTAATTACTATTTAAATTATTAAGCAACATCTGCATTTATTAAATTGTTGAAAATATGTTTGAACTTATAACAACGTAACAAACTATAATAAACTAGAATGATATATTTTGGTAAAAAGTTATAACTTGCAAAAAAAAAACATATCCAACACTTACTATTATTTGTCATTTTGTATGGTGTCAAGAATCTGTTATGTCTGTTTTAAAACTTTTATAACACACTAGCTTATTATTATATAATTATAGGTCTAAAATAAATTAACATGCGACAAAGGTAATTTTAAAATGTATATTTTTAAATTATTTGGTAACAATTGATTGGAGAGAGGTTCAGCTTGAGCCATCCAGAGATAACACCCATATAATCAGTAAAAACTATTACCTTATTTCGTCATACTTTTCTTAACATTCCCGTTGCTAAAATATTATTTAATTCGAATATTTAGAGTATCAGCTATTTTATAAGATGAGCATTGTATTTATAGGTGGAGATTGTGGGTGGGGAAGAGGCTTGCAATTGTGGGGGAGCCAGACTTTTAAAATAGACAGACAAAAAAAATCTCTTGGACGCCCAAATTATGTATTTCTTGCAAACCAAAATGGGAGCTATTTGAATAATAGCGAGAACTGAGACTGTACATGCCAAGCCTCCACTATTTCCACTTAAAGCTGTATTGAGTAAATATTTAAGGCCGTTTTGCTTTTATACTTATTCAAAATTTTGCCTTTTTTTTTTAACATGTGACTATGTGTGTTTATACTTGAAACGAATGCATACCACCATTGTGTAGAGTGTAGCCCATACTATAGTGTATAACCACACTGTGTGCAATATATAATGGCGTAACGTTACGAATGTTTTTAATATATTCAACTCTCCACTCTTCGGGGGTGGCGATTGTCCACTCGAATGTACATAAATTATACCAAGTATGCATTATTTTAGGGTCGTTGATTTTCCGGCTGGTGTTATTGTTACTGAGTCCAGAACTATTTTCAGAGTATGGGATGTCGCGCACGGGGACCACATGCATAGACTGTGCGGTTATTACAGTCTGTAATTTACATATCGCTATACACAAGTGCACTATATAAAAGCTTATATGCACCGTGCAGTTTATCTGATGGCAATACCTAGGGGTAAACGATTCGAGAGCACTGTATGTGCGATTGCGAACCTTTTAGCCTCACATACATACACAAACAAATTACAACAATTTACTGTTCGGTGTGTGTAATCGTGAGAGGCATGAAAGAATATCGTTTGTACGGTAAAATCTACGGTATTGCGTCTGAGCTCATATACATGGTGATCCTTTTATCGCGAACCACTCAATATCTCGTAGAGTTTAATAAGATATTCTATTTCTTTTTTTAATAAGGTTTTTATACAAGGTAGTCTCAATTTATCTCAATTTATCTCAATGTTTTTAGCCCCCTCCCAATTTAATTTTGTTGATAGCAACTTTTGAAACTTAAATGGTAACGCATACATTTCATAACTTTTTAAATTAAGAATAATGTACTTAAAATTTTGAATGGTCGATAACCAGTTTTCGGTAACTATTTTTGAAGTTTTAAGTATAGAGCAGTAGAAAAGGCGGAGTGTTGTCTATTAAATATATTATTATACCTAAAGTCTAGCCAGCGGCCACTAAAGGGATTGACCTATGTTAGAGCAACGGAATTCGCTTCGAAAATATACTATAGGCTAACCAAAACCGTCACAGGCTACAGTTTTCCGTAAAGCTATTAGTTTTACGATCACCGTCTAATATAAAAGCAACAACAGAGAGCGAATTAAAAGTGTGCAAAATAATCACTTATATTGTTACATGAAAAACTACCCTTTTAAGGGTATGGTGATAAAGAATAATTTTTTTTAAAGTTTGATAATTAACGCTTGGGCTTATATCTATGAAGTTGATATCTAAAACAAGACTAATAGGATTTAAAAAAAATAGAGGCGTGAACGTTTTAGAATATTGGTTCTTATAATAAACGTAAAATCAATTACATATGCTTGTTTTGTGTTTACATATAATAAAGGGATTCTGATTTAAAGACGTGTTAAAAATTATTCTAAACATAATATTGTGTACTGAGAAAAAATTGCATAGTGTTAAGGCGCCTGAGCATGACCCGTTTTTATGGGTAAAAACGTGACTTACGGGAAAAACTCTTATATCCGTAGTTCAATTAAAATAATTCTTCCTATTTTCCAATAATAAGAAATTAATGTAATCCGACTACTTTATGAGGCGTGAGAGTTTTTCCTGTAATCATTTTTACCACCAAAATGGCTATTACTTATGGTAAACATTGTATAGGTTAAAAGCTGAAGCTTATACGAAAACCTGAACATATATTGATATGGTCAACATTTATTAAAACTGTAGGATAATATTCTAGCTGTCAAAGCTATAATCTCTTTATGAATAAAAAAAATGTATTAAAACCGCTTTTTTTAATATATTTTTTTTGTTATTTACCTCTTAATAAATATAGACACAGGCAGGCCCCTTACCAAAATATTTAAATACTTGATAAAATTATTTAATATTAATATGAAATGTAAATTATTTGTATATCAACTCTATTACTATGTTATATTATATGCATGGATAAATCAAGAGGTTTTTCTAAAACAAGTTTAATATACGAGTACAACGATTTTTCGATTGCCTCAGAACTATAAAAGGATTAATTATATTTATACGTATAACATACAAATTTATTTAATTAAAAATACAGCATGTTTGTATAGTAGTATTGGTTGTATAAATGGGCAAAATTAATCCGACATAAATATATTTATTAGTATTTTAATATATTACTATGGGTCATATTTTATCTAGTTGTTGAAATTTTTTTCTCTGATTGTAAACCATTTAAAGCAAAACATGGGCCGTAATTAGTAGGTAAAGTGAAAACGATTTTTTTAATGGTTTTAATTCGTGTAGGAGTACTCCGGTTCGACAAAAGGCAACCCCATATTGTTTATTTCCGCACCTTTATCGATGTTATTTCAAAATGCGATTGTCGTTTATTGTGAGTTATGAGCTTTATATCACAATAGTAATACGTTTTTATGACGTGAAATAGTATATTTTATAGATTATTACCTTGTTATTGGCCTACAGTTTACATCATGAATGAATATGGTAGTATAATAAAAGCATATATAGGTATATATATACATACAATAAATATTTATGATATTGAGACATAACTATACGCCGGTATAGAACGACTTTGCGCTGTCATGATGTTTTTTCAGCCGCCGTCCCTAATGGCGTTTGATTAAACTGAATTTTCATCAGATGACGATTGGGAATTGTCCTGGTCTGGAAAATCGTTTATCGAATCCTCTTCGTATGAGCTTTGCTCCTGATGCTGCACGTGTGCAACAAATTTCTGTTTGTCTTCCGGGTTGTCGACGGCAGTCCATTTGCCAGACTGCAACATAAAGTCGTTAATGTCCTCGGTCGGTAGTCCACGTAGTTGTTTATCCGAGTTGGCTATATCGTTGATGAATTCCATTTGCTTGCTGTTTTTCTTGAACACACCTCTTTTGTCCAGCAGCAATTTCAGTATCTGAAAAATTTCAACACCGAAAAATAGCTTAATAAAACGTGTTTTTATGTTCAAATTTACTGTTAAGCGTTGAGCGTAACAAAAAAGTAAATTGAAATTAAAACCTAGGTGTATAGCGTCACCCATAACTGTTAGCCATTATCTGTGACTAACCAATTTACCTTTTCTTGAGTAACTTCTGGAACTTCCATTTTACCGTTTGCCGTCAGCACGATGGCCAAGTTAACCATGTCTTGCTTGCTCGCACCGGCTTTTGTTAGTGTATCAACCATATCTCTCAGGCCGTCTATGTTCCTATTGATGATATCCTCGGTAATTGGCTTGTTGTCTTCGGTCCGTGGCATTTTCGACATCAACGTATATTCCATTATGGCCCTCATCACTTTAACGTCTTCTTCAGTTCCCGATCCGTTGAACGGATCACCTCCAGCGAACAAAAATGTTATCTTGGTCGGCGAATTGGGTGGCGCCACCTTTCGGCTGGCTGTTCCTAGAGCGTTCGGCGTATCTCCAGCTGGTCTCGCAGGCTCTTCTTTATTCTGTGTCGTGCTCATCATCTCATTCAATCCCATTTGTGTCGTGTCCAACATCCTACGATGTACAAACAGGTATGAACATTATACTTACTCGCACTTATTGTTTATACAAAATAAACTTCACCTGTCAATTGATGTTAAACGAGCCGTCGACAACGTACTCGATATTACTCTTGCTTCGATCAACATACGTATGTTGATGGCTATAACAACAATCTATAGAAATTTACAAAATAAATTCAATGCGTCAATATGTAATACCCAGTTTTGGTCAATGCAGATGAAGGCACAGGGGAAGAAGGGTAGTAGTCCATTTATGAATTTTTTTTTTAAATCATTTTTTTTCAATATTATATGCAATTAATATTTTTTATTTATGTTAATATATTGTTTAAATAAATAAATCTTTTATTAGAATAGCACTTAATATGATTTTTTTCGTTGTTATGTAAGAGGGAGAGAAATTCACAAACTTTGTTTTTGCTATACTCTAAAATTATCATACATGGACTACTACCCTTATTCCCCTGTGCCCTTCAGTTGTTTACAAAAAATTATTTTAAAAATTCTTACTTCATAAAATACTATTTGCAATAATAATAATTGTACTTGGTGATACTATGATTTTGATCGGTTGTACAAATTTAAAACTAATGTCCACTTGTTAATTTATTACAAATTAATGGATTGATTATAATATTGCAATATATGGGTCGTTCTAAGATGTAAATAAATTGAATACGGTACATAACTTGAATAATTTTCAAGACACTCTTTTTTGTGATGGTGTAGATTTTCAAATAAGCTTTTTCCCCCTATATTTTATTCAGCCCACGTCTGGAATGACTAATACATTTTGAAATTCGATTAATAGTCGTTTTAGTTTTGGAACTCGTCGATTTACATATCATTACACTTATTGTTTTTTGTAACGGTCTGGAGGGGCGTTAGAAAATGTAACCCCTCCTCGGTACTTGTATAATTTAATGTGCAGCGACATTGAGAAATAGCTTGTATGAATAATTTTAAGTCGACAGAAATAATTTAAAAATAACCCTTATTTGACTTGTGCCGTCGGGTACTTAGACGCCAAAAAGACCTCGTCAAATTGATTTAAACGAATTAAACAAGAAACGACGTGTATTATATTATTATACCCTTAGCTGTACTAGTAGCTAAAGTTTTGTATAAAATAGTACAGAGTGCAAAAAAGCTCGTTGAAAACCCATTAGAAATAATGTGGTATTCTGAGTATAATATTATGTTTCACATCTGGTGAGTCATAAGTGTACATATTATGCCTTTATGCAGCCTAAAGTTGTAAATTTATTAAACTCAGACGTTATTGTTGTTTGCTATTTTTTCTAAAACTGCATAATATACAAAACGTATATGAAATGTGCTATTATAAATTCAACACGTTTTATAAAACCCGAGAATAAAAAATATTTAAAGAAAAAGTATTAAAACAATGTGTAAGGGAAATAAAATTGTTTTGCAACTAAAACAAAATGTTGAAGGATAGAGTATTTAATTATGTTTAGTTAATATAACGCCTATAATTCAATACAGGACGAGTCGTTTCAAAAGCCAATACTATTAATTTGTCTCTACCGAATATATTGTATTCTTTCTTTATATAATATAATTTATGTACAAGTGTTCGATGATATATGGAAGTTTAAAAAAAACTAATACAAAGAGTTAGTTTTGTATGCTAGTAGTCATGTAAAAACCCCGCTGTGCCACTTTGATAATTGAATGTAATGAAAACAAATATTATACCTATGTAATTGAAATCGTATACAATACAATGTATACTACATTGAGGTACAGTGTGCCGCGTGTGTATGTAAAGGATATTATGGAATTACTAAATATTTACCTTTTTTAATATTTTCCAAGTAATATCAACATTTGAAACTTAAATGGTAACATGCAGGTATATCAATTAACTTTTTAAATTAGGATTTTCTCAACATTTTGACTGGTCAATAATCAGTTTCGGATAATTACTTTTAATGTTATTAAAGTTTATAACGGGAGAAAGGGCGAAGTGAAGTATTATTTCCACCTTCCGTCCATAATTTCAAACTTTAATAACTAATAAAAAAGTAATTATTCAAAACTGGATATCGACCAGACAACATATGCAGCAAACAATTATCATTTTAAAAAGTTAATTAAATATGTATATTATTATTTAAAGTGTACAAGTTGATAAAGCTTTGGAAAATAGAAAAAAAGATAAGTCTAGTATTATAAAATAACATTTATAAAAAAAAAAATAAATAGTAAAATTGTAATTATTTTTTAAGAAAACTAGTGTCTAGGGTTAAATGGAGCACACGATATATATTTCCATGAACTTATTTTTACTTGTTAGTTATTACTTTTAAATAATAAAATATGTATACTTAGACAGAAAACGAAACACTTCATATGAAGCATCTAGTTTCAAAACCAGCCCTAAGATATTCTGACAACGTGTTTGTTTTTTAAATGACCACAATGTATTACATGTTATGTAAAACTGTTATTAAATATCAAATAAATACAAATTCAAACTGAGTTTGTTTAAAAATCTTGGTGGGTTCTATCTAAAGAAATTATTTGTTGTTTTGTGAAAATTTTCAAAAATTGTATAGCTGGTTTTGAAACTAGACGCCTCATATATAAAACATTTTTTTTCAATGCATTTTCTGACTGGAGATGAAGTGGTAATATGACAGCAATTATTATTAGTATTATTATTGACAAGGAAATTTGTATATATATATATTAAAACACATGAAATACTGTTTACAAATTACATGTGCATTATGTATATTTTATTTATCTTAAAAACGCCTGTAAATTCGTTCTTACGGCCGATAAAATGGTAAATCGTCTTGCCTAAGCAAGTGTTCGTCAACAATTTATTTTTTCGGTTATAACTCCCTCGAGTACAATACAAGAAAACTCTTGTATACCATTGTCGAGAAATGTGCATAGCATATTATAATATTTTAAATATAAACCGGATAAAACTGGACTCATTGGGAGTTTTTTTTTCAAACTTAAAACTTTATTGGATGCCAGTTGAATATTTTAAACACTCAAGAATCTATAAAATATATATATTTTTAACCTTATCGGAAACTTATAATACACCTAGTCTGAATGCTGTCGTTTGTCTGTAAAATTTCCAGTCATTTTTTGAAAGGATAAAAAATTACTCTACCCCAATGATTTGAGAAACGCATTAAGTAGTAATGCTATGAAGATTGATAGACGTTATACAGAATTTCGGGACGAGCTTAGGTACCGGCTTCGCGTTGTGTCGTCGTTAGATAGGTAATATCAAAAATGCTTTATAAATAAGCAAGTAAAAATCCAAAAACACATTGTCAATGTAAAAATATTTTTTTTTAAAATGATGCCAGTTGTTTTCTGGCAAAATAATATGTATTCGTTACAAAAATATGTAGAATATTCTTGCAAATATCTCTACATTTAAAAGTAACAAAAATTAAAAAAAATACCTATTGATTTTTCAAATATTTATTTAGGAATATTTAAAAAAAGGAGAGAAATCGCAGTAGATAAGTTTCCTAAAAAAAGGCATCATGATGCTTTATAAACAATAATATCTAATGGACAGTCGATTTGATTTTTTATCGATGAATTATGTTCAAAAATACTGTAATCATTTTTCATTAATAACCCAGATAAAAAATTAACCATAACAATAGAACCGCCAAGATTTGTTGCATCAAATCATGAGTTTATTGAGACTAAAATAAAAAAAGAAGTGTAATGTGAATTTCAAATTTGGAAAAAAACTTCGGATTTTTAAGAAAATACAAAGCTTTTTATGACACTTGGTTATGATTCTAATTTCAAAGTATAAAAGACAAATTTAAGTGGGCAGTTCAATCGTTATTTTTTTAATTACCTGCACGGCGATGACGTGTTTAAAAAATGTGGAACTGGCCATCTCGTTACACTGTTTATTTGAGTTTAAACAAGTTCACTGATTGTATGTGTTGATACTTTTGAATAGCTGTTCGGCTGTGGCATTTATGTAATCTGTCAATTCTTTCAGCCAGTTTATGGCAAACTCCCAAAACATTATAAAAAATGCATATATTATATTCCTGTATACATTACGTTATTATCGAATGGTCATCATGGCGGTGCGTAAAAGTCAAAGTACCATATTTTGCTGTAAAAACAAAAAATAAAAACAAGGAAAAACAGTTTATTTCCAAAACATGTGTAGCGCAACAATTAAGATAATGTCGACTGCAACTGTCGAGTAAATGTAATTTGAACGGTAAATTATACTTAATTTTGTTAAAAAGCTAATTGATTTTGTAACAAAATTATATTTTTTCATGTTCCAGCTGTGCACAACAAAAGATCTCAATGCTAATAATAATTATTGATCATTTATTGTCGTGTGTGTGTTTTTACTTGTTGCGTTGCTAATTATTACAGTATAAAACACATATTATTTCTAAAATATTTTTTCAGGTTTTTCTTACTAACACTGCAAATTGTATTATACTTTTAAAATACTACATGCATAATAAAGGTTATTGAAAACATCATATGTAGTAATTATTTTATTAGTATAAGTATCAAGTAGCGATAATATGATCTTTGTAAGAATAGAAAAATCAATAGGTAATATTTTTATCTTTTCTTGCTACTTCCAGTTAACACTAAAAATAAAGGACACCTTATAGCAATTAGGATGGAAAACATGTACAGGTATATCAATTAAATGACGTTATATCAGCTTAACTTAGAGCACATTCAACATGAGCGTGAAGTCGAGTATTATATACACTTTACTTTTTTATTCCAGTATCCATCTCATGTTTAATCCTACTCTCGTATCTTTTTGTTTTTACCTTACCGTCAAATCGACAGTAATCTCCCACCAAGGTTCCATCATGGAGTATGTTTTCCTTGAAAAATAATATTGAGAAGTAGCTTACACAATATGTGCATATTTTAATCCAGTTTTCTCGGAACAACCATCTACATTTGTAGTAGAGGCGAGGAAAAATAGTATTATTATGAAACTAAGCAATATATTTTAGGCCAAATGGCAAACGGTTAGTATGTTTATCCAGCGAAAATTATATTTATTTCTTTTATTTAAAGCCGCACAAATTGTTATGTCAGGAGGCACTCTCTTGGGCTTAGCCCGGGTAATGGTCACTCTCTCGTATATGATCGCTTATACGAGGGGTGTATGTTTCGCGTTTAATATCGTTTGTGTACTTTAACTTCGTTTGAATGAAAATTATATTTTGTTGTGTGTAAATCTTTTAAAGTTATTATTATTTTACTTTAAAAAAAGAGTTACCTTCTTTCCTTTTTAATTTAATTATTACAAAGGTGTGATTCAAAATTATAGTCACTGAATTAATTTATGATAGGTTTCTTTGTAATAAATTGGTCTCTAAATCTATATAGAACGTACGGATCAGTCACATGCTCGACTAAGTTTTCAGACTTAGCTCTAGGTCAGGAGTTCTGACGGTACGATTTCCTAAGAGTTAAGAAACACCGGCCACTTCTACTTTAAAAATAGTAAATAAATAATACTCAGGTAAGACCTAAAATACAAGCGTTATTCGAGTGGTGTAGTTTGTGTATTGAACCAAACCATCTACAAAAATATAGGAAATATTTTTTAAAAATTATGTACATACCTACACCGTTTTCTCGGTGACTTAACAATATTTTATAAGAACGCTCATTGTCGTTGCAAAGTAAAACACAGTATTAGGTATGCTATTGTTTTGTTTTCCAAAGTACATAATAATTTATCATATAAATATAAGGTACTGTATCGTCTACCGTTTTACTACAATAATTTATTCATAGTTGCATTGTTATTAATTTTATTAATCCTCAAAATGTATAATGAAAAAAAAAACGTAATACGAGGACTGACGTAAAATATATTCAAAATATTGTATCCGATAAATAGTTTTAACCGACTTTACGCCTCGTGTGCTGGACCATATTTAATTATAAAGTATCCCAAGTAATAATTACAAAACTGTCAAACGCATTCGTTGAACCCGTTGAACCGATATCATTGTTTGAATTTAGGACCATATAATAGTTGAGGTTCCACAAATGATCTCGAACCAAATGGTAATATTAATTAATGATATTGAAAAACTAACCACTTATGATTTTAAGAAAAAAACGCGTGATTTTGTCGCTTTAAAGTTTACAATTCACCAATTATTTATTAAGAAATGAAGAGTAGAACATTTTGTGATAAACCTTGGTGTAATGTTAAAATAATTTACTTTACGAGTTTATTTTCAAAATCAGATATAAAAAATGTATGACATTTTTACGAACAACAAAAACCCTATAAAAAATGTAAATTTTACTAGTGAAGATTTTATTAATAATGTTAAATCAAAGCTTTGGAATATACTAAATAGATGTATAAAATAGTATTATAATATAAAGAAATTATTTAAAAAGTTTTTCAGCCGAGTCTGCAACCACGAAAGAGCATTTTCATGTCTCGTTGAAGTACCGAATAAATGTAGAGTAGTGGTGGAATTATAGATAATGATATAGTATATTAAGAAGCAGAAACAAGCTAGTATATTAAAACATCAAGTTTCTGGCTAATATTGTAGTGTTTAATATCAGGCTTAAAACAATCATAGAGAATTTGGGCCCTTAAACTATTTTGAATTTATTATTTAGATCTAATTTGAACGTTGAACGTACAACATATCTCTTACCTCCTATATCTTACCCCTATTTCCCACCCCTATCTTCTACCCCTATCTCCTACCCATCTCCCACTCCTATCTCCCGCCCTATCTTCTAACCCTATCTCCCACCTCTATCTCCTACCCCCTATCTCATATCTCTTACCCCTAATACTACTCCCACCCCATTCCCACCCCAACCCCATCTCCGTGTCCTAACGCTTTTTTCGTTATACATTTTCGTTACGCTGTTTTCAGTTATGTGCCAGAGCTAAGACATAAAAATGTCAAGAAATGACACTGTCATTACTGCTAATGCTTTGTTATAGCTGGTATTGTTAGGTACTAAATTTGTTCTATAGCCGTTTGTTAATCTGAGATTTTTGTTAATTTTTTTTTTTACATAAGTATGGCTGGTTTTGATTTTTAATTTATCATAGAGGTGGTTTTGAAACAAACATTGAAATATTATTATTATACTCGTTAAAAAATTAAAATTATAAATACTATAAACTTTAAATCACTGAGCATTATCATATTACGCTCCAAGCTTTTAATTGTTGTATATTTCAGACTTAAGTATAAAAATGCATTTCTACGAACATCATTAAAACGATGAATAATAATTATTGTCTCTCCGTGTTGAAGTGTACGAGTACTGAGTGTACCCAAAAAGCTATATATCATTATACATGTACTAGAGAGCGTCACCCACTGATACTCGATGTATGTTATACTCTTTGAAAAAAATACTGTATGTTACCCAAGAACCACTTAAGTACTAGGAGGGCTGATGGGTTGCCAATAAATTGCTCCGGGGTGGTTTCCTTCGTAGTACCATATATACTTAAGGTATAAAATTTCAGATACCACCGGGTACGATTATTTTGAATGGGCAATAAACGCAGCCGTCAAGGTTGGATGTCGGCAATAGTTAATGTATATTTTTTGAAAAAAACAGGTAGTAGGTACATATCGCTTTAAGAGTACAATTTCATATCAAATCATATGGCGTAGATGCTCATTTCCTCATACTATAGCATTGAAGGAGTCCATTCAACGAGCAGCTTACTGAGTTAAGTTACATTTTTGGAAAATTTGTTTTCCTAAAACATTTTTAATGACGGTTCGTTCTTCTTGCAGAATTGTTGTTTATTATGTTTATAAATGGGTCCTTCTAAAAACTTTGTGACTAACATTTCCTAAACTTTTCAGGAAACGAAAAAACATATGGTCCACCTTGGTGATTTTTTTCTGGTTTACATTTAGGTACCTCGTACAACTCATATTTGCGCTGTGTTGTATATCATTTTTTTCGTAAATTCCAATACTTATACATTTTAGTTGACATAAATGACTCTGTTTCAGTTTAAAATCGTTACTTTTTTGGACCAATCATGCAGTAGTAAAGTTTTTAGATTGTGACCTGACAAACGAAAATGAGCGCATATAGTAACGGTTCTACACTATAAGGATAAGGTTAAAAAAATTGGTGTAGTATCAATCAAGGAACTTTATTAATACCTAACAATTCTTTTATTTATAAAATTCAATTTTTATCCTTTGGGATTTAAAAGGTTCGACAAATCACTCTAATTTAATGATTTAATTTACGCGAAAACGTTTATTTGTGAGGGATTAAGGTATTTCTAGGAAGTAACGTTTTTAGACTCACCTGGTTCAGAGGTTCAATTCCCGGATTATTCGTACTTTTCATAGACTTGTGTGGGCAGTACACTGTCTTTCAATTCTTAAACTTCATCTGGATCCACTCGTGGTAATTAATTTTACGTGTCTTGTCCTTACCTATTAATATTTTTTCCGAGCTTAGACGCCCACCTTTCATGTGGTGAGGATTCCACGCAGACTGCTGGTGGAACGTAATTAGAAGAAGCACCAACTTTTGTGACAAAAAAATGTGATAAAGAGGTCGAAAATGGTCTAACAAGTAGCAACACATGGTGGAACAGGTTCCCAGGAACGTTTTTACTTTGAAAAACTCCCTTCGTCTAAATTGTTAGTTCCAACGTTTTTAAAGGGACACATTATATATATATATATATATTATATCGTCCATCATTTAATATAAAATAAATAAATTATATTGTACATTTTTTAAGATATAAATAAGACACATTCAAATTTACCCCCTTATGTATTCCATAACCAGGATATTTGAATAAAAATATAGATTTATTTAAAAATTGATATATTATAAATTACTTGATTGGCGAGGTTGGAAACAGTACTATATAATGTGTAAAAACTAAAAACCTATCAAATACAAGTTGGAACTCTCAAACTTGAAATTTAACATACAATAAAGCTAAGAAAAATAATGAAATGATTTTCAATCAAATATATCCCATTATCCCCTACATAGGTATAAAGTATAGTAACCTAAGTCCTAACTTAACCTAATGTTCGCGTGTAACGCAGCAAATATTTTAGTTTTTCCATAAACGGTTAATTATATAATATTTAGTTCAAATATTTTCTTTGTAGGTAAGTGAATTAAATAGA